CGGCCGATTTTTCACCTATTGACGTTCTCAAGCTGGCCTCAAATGGTAATAATCTCTGTGTACATCTGTACGAGGATTGCAAGTTATCTGAGCCTCCACAACCAAAATCATATCTTTTACAAAATCTGAAGAATCTTTTACGGAAATTATGGTCTTTGTAACAGTACGAAGACCATAATATTTTCCGTAAAAGCGCAGCCACACAACCTGCGAGCAAATATCTGCTACTGTAGCGTCACCTTTGTGCGGTGCGTGGTTGCAAAATACGAATTGCCATCGATTTTTCCGCCTTTGTCGTTGGCATGCCGCACCCTACCGGCCTAAAATTCTGTGAGTATGTATTCAGTACTCCGTACATGTTTACTCATTCTGCTCACGTTTAGGTTATTTGTGGAAGTACACTTTCATAGAGTGATTTTGTGCAATTTTGTTCAAAAAACCTCGTTCTAAGCAGCCACGCATAATTGCGGATTATGTGTGCACTTCTCCGTATGCCAATTCAAATTCTTATCACACAACATCTTCTCTGTAAAAAAAAATGTTCTTGATTGTTTTTTCAGTCTGTTTTGCATCGTTACCATCCTCTTATCTATTTGATCCAAGTCCTTGGCCTCTCGTTATCGCACGAACAACTGCTAGCCTGTATCCAATATGATGCTAATGTAATGTGGCAGAGGTTATTTTGTTCATCTCAAATTTCTCTCTGCAATCGCCATTTCCATCTCAAAACGTCTTTCACTCGTACCAGGACGAAATGTTTTATTTGTCAGAGGCCTTTCCGTTCTTATCTCTTCATCATGCACTGTCCGATGTATCTGCTGTCCAGCAAACAATTCTTTTCTCAATCAATTTGTGCGGTTTATGAGCGTTCAAGAGCGTTCAAATCACTTTTCCAATCAGTTTCTTAGAAATGAAACGCGAACACACTGACGACGATCGCTATGGAAATTCGCGCAACTCCAAACGGCAGCGGGGCGACGGGTAAGAGTTTTGGCTCACAGCTCAATGAAGTCTCTCACGAATACTGCATTTTAGTTTTTCTGAAGCTTTGGCTCAGGGGAAATTTGAGCTTCGTGTGTTAGTGAGCAGCAAGTGTGCTGGTGCAATCATTGGCAAAGGTGGTGAAAATATCAAACGTCTACGTAACCAGGTACGTCATGTTTATTTCGAATTTGGTGGGTGTCGTGGATTACGGAGTATTTCCAAGAATTTTATCCGTACCCTATCGCATTTGCATGTTCATAAAGCATTCGAATAGGGTTGATGCGCTGTTTTTTATTTTTAAGAAGGGAAATCTTGTCAAACCTACGAAATTTTCTCCTTGGTATTTTCCTTGCCGTATCATATACGCCTCAATACAATCTAATCTAATCTAAATATAAAGAATCACAAGCGCAGTTCTCCCAAAAGCGGGAAACCGAGGGCGGTCCCGAAGCGCGGGAT